CCGTGGAGTCGGAAGATCTGTAGGAACCCCTCAATCTGAGAAAAGGCGGGTCGCTCCCGCTGGTTGGCGCACAGCCAATGTCTAGCTTTCGGTTTTTTTGCTTCCGTGGAGTTGGAAGGCTGTACTTCTTTGGGCCCTTTAGTTGTTTGTGTTTCCGTTTTATTTTGTGGACTTGCTGGATGGACGTTATGGTGGACTCATACTGCTCCTTTGGGTATTGTGATTAATCATTTCAAGGAGATTGGGGGAGGCTTTAGAGCTCCCCCAGGAATGGCGAAGTTGTTAGGAATTGAATGGATTGTTTAAACTCTGAATGAATGTCTGATGAAAGTGTGCAAGTGTAGAGGGAGGGGGACTGCTCTCCCCGCTCCTTTGTGTGGCGGTTGGGTGGCTACCTGAGTGAGGGTCTGTGGAAACAGGTCACCCCCTCCCCAAGTAAATGCGTCTGGGATTTCTGTGCACGTGTAAGGAGAAAAGCTGGCTTAAAACTAATATGCGCACTGTCCGATTTTGGATAGGGTTTTGGGCTAGCGTCTCCTTTCAAATGTGCAGGATAAATCCCAAGCCTAATCCAAAATAAAGAACAGTTTTTCCAAAGGAAAAAAAACAAAAACAAAAAACTGGTCCTTTGTTAATTAAGAAAGCTTTTCTTGATGGAAGAAGGAGATAGTCGCCTCCTGCGTACAGCAAAATCTTAAAGAATGTGGTCAATTTACATCTGAAAAGACCAGGTAGGCCAAAAACCTGCCTTGCAAGGTTCGAATGTGGTTTTCCAGAGCCGCTTGAAACCTAATAATAATAAAAAAAAAGACAGTCTTTTACACAACTGAAACTGATTTGTTGGTATTTTGTGGTATAAATGTGGCATGCACCTCAAAGTTCTTAATGGAGAATGTATCTAGTTATTATGTCTATTTAGTCTTGATTTCCTTGTTCAATATTAGTACCGTTTCCATCCAGATGAGACATAGGTCAAAAGTCCTGTCCTGAGATGTGAAAAAGGGAGGCCTCCACATCTGTTCCTGTCTGCTCAAAATCCCAGGATTGTAAAAGTACTTGTTCACTAAAAGAGTGTAAGTATAAATGTTTATTTGATGTTTGTATGTCTATTTAGATATAATTATTTGTTCATGTGAGTGTGGAAATATATTCTGTGCT